CCAGTATTAAAACATGACAAAAAGGCACAAAATCCAAATCTATAGACCAGTTTCTCTTATGAATATACATAAAAAATCCTAAATTAAATATGAGCAAATCAATCTATGATCACAGCAAAGTCAGAAGTTTAAACCCACTAGCCGTTCTTAGAAATCATATACAGGGTAGTTACGAATCAGAAATGACTAGGCAGCTCACAACAACAACAACAACAGATCAATGTCAGTAATATGATGCCATGACAGTAACAATCATATAATGTTAGGAAATCTAATCCTAGTGGTGCCACGGTTAAGCACTTGGCTGCTAGTTAAAAAGTTGGTGGTTCAAATGCACCCAGTCTCACCATAGCAGAAAGACTTGGAAAGATTATAGCCTAGAAAACTCTATAGAGAAGTGCTTCTCTGAAACACATAAAGTAAGTTATATGTCAAAAATGAACTCAAACACCCATAAAAACAACAATATCAGCATTACCACAATCTATGGTCCCTGGATGGCACAGATGGTTTATGTTCAACTACTAAGTGAAATGTTGGCATTTCCAATCCACCTAGAGGCTCAATGGTGATCTACTTCCCTAAAGATTCTTGTTGCTGTTACGTGCTGTTGAGTTGCTTTTGACGCCTAGAAATCCTATGTAGAGTAAAAGGAAATACTGCCAGCTCCTGTGAAATATTAGGTAAGTTTGAAACTCCAAAGATTACAGTCAAGAAAATGCTATGGGACAGTTTCTATTCTATTACACAGTGAGGTTAGTATGAGTCAGAATCAGCTGCATGGTAACGGGTTTGGTTAGGATTTAATCATATGATTTGTTTGGATGGGTCAGAGGAGTTTGAGCTGTTTTGGCTTTAATGAGTACTCTTGTTATGAAGTGCCCTCGAGTCAGTTCTGACTCATAGAGAAAGTGATTAAATAAACAAAATACACAAGTAATTCTAGCTGAAGGAGTCTTTGCATTTAGATTTTAAAGGAATGTCAGAATGCAAGTTAAAATAAATGGCAGAACTTTATAAAAAAGAAAGAAAAATATTCCTTATGTACAAATAAACATAATTAAAAAACAGCTGCAACCATACATTGTCAGAGAACTTCCAGAGATTCAAGCCAAATTCAGAAGAGGATGTGAAACAAGGGATATCATTGCTAACGTCAGATGGGTCTTGGCTGAAAGCACAGACTACCAGGAAGATGTTTACCTGTGCTTTAATGACTATGCAGAGGCTTTCTGTTGTGTGGATCATGACAAACTATGGACAGCATTGCAGAGAATGAGTATTCCGGAACACACAATTGTGCTCATGAGGATCGTGTCCATAGACCAAGAGGTAGTTGTTCAAAAGCACAAGGGAATGGTTTAGTACAACCTTAGGAAAGGTGTGTGCCAGGGTTGTATTCCTTCATCATACTTATTCAACTGAGCAAATAATCTAAGAGGCTGGATTAAATGAAGAAGAATATAGTATCAAGATTAGAGGAAGATTCATAAGCAACCTGAGATATGCAGATAATATAACCTTACTTGCTGAAAGGGAAGAGGACTTAAAATACTTACTGATGAAGATCAAAGATCATGGCCTTCGATATGTGCTGCACCTCAATGTAAAAACAAAAATTCTCACAACAGGACCAATAAATAACATCACAATAAATGGAGAAAAGATTGAAGTTGTCAAAGACTTCATTTACTTGGATCAATCATCAATGCTCATGGAAGCAGCAGTCAAGATATCAAACAACTTACTGTATCAGGCAAATCTGCTACACAAGACCTCTTTAAAATGCTGAAGAGCAAAGACGTGAGTTTGAGTGCCTGGCTAAGGTGTGCCTGACCCAAGTCATGATATTTCCAATAACCTCATATGCATGTGAAAGTTGGGCAGTGAATAAGTGAATAAGGAAGACTACAGAAGAACTAGTGCATTTGAGCTATGATGTTGGAGGAGAATATTAAATTTTAAAGTACCACGGACTGCCAAAAGAACAAACCAATCAGTGTTGGAAGAAATACAACCAGAATGCTCCCTGGAAGCCAGGATGCTCAGACTTAATCTCTCATACTTTGGACATATTGTCAGGAGGGACCAGTCCCTGGAGAAGAATATCCTATTTGGTAAAATGGAAGGTTGTAGAAAAAGAGGAAGACCTCCAACAAGAGGATTGGCCCAGTGGCAGCTGCTATGAGCTCCAATGTAGCAATGGTTGTGATGTTGGCATAGAACTGGGCAGGGTTGCTACGAATTGGTACCAACTCGATGGCACCTAACAACCACAGCATGTAGAACATAATATTGGACACCAAAGATAGAGAAAACCTATCATCTTCTTCTGGGGAAGACCTAGACCACAGGTATTATTTTCATCACTAGTACTGATTACTGATATCTAGGGGAAAGATGAGCTTGTATACTATTCAATACTCAGCAACTCCATTGTCGTTTTTAAGTGCCGTGGAGTTGGCTCTGACTCATGGCGACCCTGTATAGTTTCCGAGGAGAGGCTGCTGAGTTTGAAGCACCGATCATGCTGTTCAATCCAACCTTGCAGTCCAGTGCACTATTCTACAGCACCACATCAGCAACTTCATTAGTATGTTGGTATTAATGCTGTTGAGTCACTTTTGACTAAGTGAAACTGTACAGCGTTTCCTAGGAGTAGCTGGTGGGTTTGCAAAGCCACACCAAGGACAGTTTTAAATATTGAATTCTTCAGAACTTTTATAATCTACAGTTGCTCAGACCCCCTTTAAACAATTACAAGGGAACACATACCAGTAAAAAACATTGAACCAGTAAGAAGATATGGGGTACAAGAAAGCACGATAAAGCCATCAGTACAAATTAGAGTTAAGTCTAAATAACTGCTAATTTAAAACATTTTTTAAATATTTGAATTAATTTCTTTATCATCCTGTAGAGCAGTAGCTGAAAATGAAGAGCATGCCAGGGATGTCAGGTTGGGAAAACTCCAGTTAATTTAAATTTGAGTCTATCATTCACTTCTTTCAATGCACCTAGCTGCTAAAACGCACAGCAGTAGTAGGGCATATAAAAGATCATTAGTTTTACAAGGGATGTACAAATGCAGATTTAAATACAATGCCTCAAAGTAACACAAAGCATTGGCTCCAAAGAGAACATTTTCCTACACTGGAGAGCTAACAGTGCCACCTACTGTCTGGCTACTTACACACACCCTTGGTCCTGGTGGTGTGTTGTGCGGTGGAGTCGGTTCCAACTCATAGTGACCCTGTACAGGATTTCTCAGGCTGTAAATCTTTACAGGAGCAGAAAGCGTCATCTTTCTCCTGCAGAACAGCTGGTAGCTTCGAATTGCTGACCTTGAGGTTAGCAGCACAATTCGTAGCCACTAAACTACCCTGGTAGGTAATGGATGAAATACCATTTTTTTTTTTTTTTAAGATGTTTTGGAATTAATGTGGACACTAGAATGTCCAACATGCCAAACAAATATGTGATCGGTTTTGGACTGCATGTATTCAACACCCCTCGCCCATTCCCCATTTGGAAGGAGCTTTCAGACAATAAGACTTTAAGAGAGAAAGAGAAGAAGTACGTAAGAGAAATATAAACTTAAGGAGCTCTGGTAGCGTAGTGGTTACGAATCGGGCTGCTAATCTCACGGTCAGCAGTTCGAAACCACCAGCTGTTCCGTGGGTGAAAGATGAGGCTTTCTGCTCCCGTAAAGATTACAGCTTCGGAAACCCTGTACAGGGTCGCTATGAGTCGGAACCGACTCCACGGCACTTAACAACAACAACATCTTACTTAAGGCACTGTATTTGGGGGTTCTCTTTTCTCTCCTTTTTTTGGTACAGAAACTTAACCTATATCCTGATTTTTTTAAATTACTTAAGGTCTTATAGCACATTTAGTGGCACCATTGTTATTAAATAGTAGTTGCATCACTTAAAATCATAGAAGCAGCAGTATTTCAAAGTGTAAGGCTATTTCCTTTTGACTTGACTTCTGTTTGGAATTAGTGAGATTTGATAATATTCTTCTTTACTCAGTAAAGTGGAGACTTGACTTACATGTTTTAGAAATGGCTTGTTGGTAAACGGAACCCTGGTGTTGCAGTGGGATAAACATTGGGCTGTTGACTTAAAGGTCAGCAGTTCAAACCCACCAGCTGCTCTGCAGTCTGCCCCTGTGGAGATTTACAGTCTCCGAACCCTGTGAAATAGTTCTAGCTTGTCCTCTGGGGTCCCTGTGCATCTGAGTTGACTTGACAGCAGTGGATTATTGGAAAAACCAAATCTAAACATTATGGTTCTAGAAAGAAATGTTCTAATCAGTTATAATGTGTCCACATTTCTACTCTGTTAGCACAGTGATTACGAGTCGGGCTGCTAACCTCAAGGTCAGCAGTTTGAAACTACCAGATTTTGTGTGGAAGAAAGATAAGGCTTTCGTCTCCCAAAAAGATTCACAGCCTCAGATACTCATATACAGAGTCACTGTAAGGAAGAGCATAGAAGAATTGATGCTTTTGAGTTGTGGTGTTGGAGGAGAATACTAAAAGTGCCATGGGCTGCCAAAAGAGCCAATAGATCTGTGTTGGAAGAAGTGCTGCCGGAATGCTCCTTGGAGGCTAGGATGGCCAAACTTCGTCTCTCATACTTTGGACATATTGCCAGGAAGGACCAGTCGCTGGAGAAGGACATCATGTTTGGTAAGGTGGAGGGTCAGAGAAAAAGAGGAAGACCCCCAACGAGATGGATTGGCCAAGTGACAGTATTGATGGACTCAAGCATGGCAACGGTAGTGAGGTTGGCCCCAGATTGGGCAGTGTTTCGTTCTTCTGTGTATAGAAATAAGGTTGCAATGAGTCGGTACCAACGCGATGGCACCTAACAACAACAACAACATGAGTCGGAACCAACTCCAAGGCTCGTCCCCACCACCACCACCACCACCAATTTGAAACGTTGATACTTGGAGAAGCTCTAAGGAACTCCAGGGTGAAAACTTACCTTCAGTCTGGTTTTCAACCCAAGAGTTGACCTCCTTTCTGGTTTGGTCAGGAGTTTCTATGAAATTAACAGACTGTGGCTCTGCTCCAAAGTATTTTTTCATGTCATCTAGATATTTCTGAAAGATACAGGTAAAATCCTCTTTTTGTAAACTTTATACAAAATTTAGATTTCAAGTCTATTTTGACTATCAAAAGAGCTAGGTGAATGGACAATTGTGAACTCCCACCCTATCACTCCCTTCTCCCCTCATCCCCAGTTTGGATCAAGAATTAAGCAGCCTCTTTGCAAATTTGGAAGTGTGGTGGCTCTGTAGGATAAGCACTGGATTTTGGACCAAAAAGTCCACCAGTCTCTCCATGGGAAAAAAGATGAGGCTTTCTGGTCCCAAAGATTTAAAAACCCTGGAAACCTCATAAAGGGTCAGTGTGAGTCAGAACTGACTGGATGGCACTTGAAACAATATTGCAAACGTAGCAGAGCCCTGACTAGCCCCACAGAACCCCAGGTGCTGGGAGAATGCCTGCCACAGTTGGTTCTGAACCTTCCTGTCTCCTCTTTCCTATTTTGATTCATGGCCAAGGCTGGAATAGAAAGAACAATCCACAAATCCACAGGAAGACGCCCAGTGGCCAACCAGTCTTGGAAATTGTACTTTATTACTGTGGCAGGAATGGGACCCAAGTGAGGTTCCTGGGACCTGCAGTTGCTGCTATGGAACCTTGTGAAGGGCCTCTAAGGAAAACTTTATGCTGACAGTAAATTAGACTTCTGAGCATGATCAGGCATTCCAGAGGTGCTGGCCCACATTAGAACTTGAGAAAACAGACAAAACACACTTTCTGAGGAAAAACGTTGTTCTTCTCCTTCCAGGCCCTGGAGGTGCATTGTGAAAGCAGTCAGTCACCGGATGTGGGTTGTAGTGACCAGGAACACCTATCCTGGGAACATCATTTATTCTTCAGGGCAGTTATGATTCTCTGTCAGCTTGCTGACTTCATGGTGGACTTGTAAGCAGTAAAAGTTAGTGAGTTAATTCCTCTTCCAGGCAACAGAACAAAGATTACAAGATCCAAATTCTGAGGAATTTATAGTCTACTAAAACCAAAATTTAAAAAATACATAAGGCATCACTTCCTACTTAACCCAAGGGTTCTGATCAATCCCTGGTGGTACCGTGGTTAAGCACTTGGTTGCTAATCAATTAGGTCTGAGGTTCAAACTCACCAACTGCTCCAAGGAAGCAACATGATGTAGTCAGATTCCATAAAGATTATAGACTTAGAAATCCGACAGGAGAGTGTTCCTGTAACTTACAGGAGTCACTGTTTGTGAATAACAACGGCAATTTCTCTATGGAGTTCTTGGGTGGTGCAAACTGTTAAGTACTTGACTGCTAACCAGAAGGGTGGGCGTTCAAGTCCTCCTAGAGATAATCTTAGAATAAAGAGGTGGAGATCTGTTTCCAAAAGAGGGTAACCCTAAAAACTCTATAGAGCACAATTCTGCTGTACACATAGGGCTGGAAGCATCTCGATGCCAGCTGGTGTTTGTTGATGTTTATTTATTCTGTACTTTTTGCTCCCTATTTCCAGTGAAACAAACATTGATCCAAACATAATATAGACCTAATTTTCATATGTGTTCAAGCTCCATTCCTAGAGCCTACTCTTTTATTCTGGACATGAAGATCTGATCGCTAGATTTTGTCTGAGAGCCATTATTGGTTTCCTTTACAACAACATGCTCTTGGCTGCTCTAAATGAATGCTTACGAGGAAGTATTGTACTTGGAAATGCTAGAGAAATGTACAAAAAGTTGTTGGTTAGTGTCTCATGGTCCTTTGCTTCCCATCAGCTTTAAATAAAGTGCTTTTACTTACATTGTAAAATGGATATGTCTTCTCACCGTATAACCCATTGGCTGTCTTAAGGATGTAGGCATTGTTGGGCTTGTTGATTTCTGAGATAAGTGTCTGGAAATTAGAGTATATTCCTTCAACTTTGTCCAAATTGAATTCCTTTGGAAGAAAAGAGATCAATCAAATAACCATGTTGAACATGAGCTATATCTCAGCAATCTATAGATAAGTAAAATGATTTGGTGCATTGCAAACAAAAGCTAGAACACAAATCTAATGTAGATTTTAGAATGTCTGCTTTAATGCTAGCAATGTAAAAAATGTCAAAATTATTAGGGCACTGAATTCTTCATATTTAGCTTGCAAGACAGGCAAACATACACTTAAAGATGAAACTATTTTGAAAGGGAAAAATAGGTGGGGAAGATAAGGAAAAATAATATGACTTCTCAAAAACGTGTACGTATTTTGTATTCTGAAAGTGCTTCTGTCATTTTGACATGTTTTTCTAGGAAAAGTAGCCCTCTTAAATTACTTAAATTAACCACTAAAACACACATGCTAATAGTGCTTTCTCTGTAATCATCAGGTGAATTAGTTACTTGGATATTCAAAGGTAAGAGATACCATTTTCCTTTTCTTTTCACTTTCAGGACAAGATTTGAGGTCGTGGCCTTGGTTCAATTGAAGCACCTGTAATTTTAGTAAAAAGGTAATAGATGAGTGAAATCTGCAGAGAAGTAATCATATGAAATACATGCCAAGAAATGAGAGTTATTTCTATAGCTACCAAACATATAATTAATAAACCACAGGAGCTCTGATTTGACTTAAATGGTGTGGTAGCTGAATAGGGTAAGTCAAGAGCTACTTTTAGATGAAAAAAACCCAAAAACATTAAACTGCTAATCCCTTTATAAGGGACCAGGGTATAAGTGTTTATTGACTAACCCAAAAGAAAGTGGTTTGAACTCACCAGCTGCTCCAAAGGAAAATGATGTGGCAGGCTTCTCCCATAAAGATTATGTCTTGGAAACTATGGGGCAGTTCTAGTCTGCCCTGGAGGGTTGCTATCGGTTGAAATCAGCCCAGTGGCAATGGGTACGGGTAAGCCTTTTATTTTAATACTTCCTGGTGTGGCACTGTGGGATAAAGCACTGACTGGACTGCGAGGTTGGTTTGACCCACAAGGTCCATGGTTCAAACTCACCAACCAACTCCTTGGAAACCCTATTGGGGTCGCTATGAGTCTAAATTGACTCAACAGCACTTAATAGCAACAACAACATAGAAGATTTGGAGTCCTGTTGTGATGCTGTAGGATAAGCACTGGAGTACAAATTGAAAAGTCAGTGGTTCACACCCACCAGCCAAGCCTCAGAAACCCTATGTCATTGTTAGTCAGGACATTTAGATTTCTGAGGCTTGGTTGGTGAACTGAACCACTATCTTTTCAGTTAGTAGTCCAGTGCTTATCCTACAGGGTCACATTAGGAATCCAAATCTTCCATGCTATTGTTGTTAAGTGTCGTTGAGTCAGTTCCAACTCATAGCAACCCTGTATAGGGTTTCCAAGGAGCTGCTGGTTAGTTTGAACCATTGACCTTGAGGTCCAGTGCTTTATGCCACAGCGTTACACCAGCATTATTAGTAAGGGCATTTAAGGTAACGTTGGGAAAATTCTCTTCTTTTCCATGTTCCACTTTTACCTATGACTATTTTGAAAAGAAGGCTAGATGTTCAACTGAGATCACTATTCAGATAATTTAAGCAAAAATCACCAGTGCCACAATTATCCCCAAATCTCAGGCATCTTAGATGAGTGCTTCTTCAAGTCTCATCTTTTACCACTGCCTGACAGAGTCTTTGTCTCCAGCCCAGTAGTTCATTTGAAAGTTAACAGGAAGGATGTGGACAATCCTTTTCTCCCCTGAATTGTGAAAAAGTAGAAGAGAAAGCAAAATTTCCATCTTCCACCTTCGAAACCCAGTTCACAGGAAGGAGTAAAGTCTATTTTACCAAAGATTGGGCCACCCACAGTGACAGAACGGGGGCCATTTGCCCAGTAAAAGGAGAAGAGGGTCCACTCACTGGGCACATGGGCAAACTGAAGCTATTACTATTTACATAATATTTAAATAAAATTGGGCAAGCAACACCTAGCATTATATTGATATGAAATGGATCCAACTTGCAATCCACCTATGGAGAGTCTCTCCCTTTAATGATTCATCCTTTTCAACTTCATGGATCAGGAATAACTATTAGTGGTGCAGACTTTTGTTGTTACGACGCAATAGTTTGTGAATTACAAAGGTCAGAGTAATAGTCTAGTCTCAAATTCACAATATAAAATAACTCAAATCATGAAATATGAATAAATGTTATAGTCTGAGTTCTACCAGTCTCTAGACAGTCTTGTCTTTTTAATGATTTTGAGTTGGTTTCTCCATTTTTCTCCCACTCTTGTGATCCCTTTCAGACCAGCAGAGGTCGTTGGGCACCATCTAGTTCTTCTAACCTCAGGGTTGTGGAGTGTGGTGTTCATATGACCTATTACATTGGACTAATTGTTTCCATTGTTCTCAGCTTTCATCACCCTTCTTCCCTCTACCTTAGATGATGCGCACAAACGTCTAAGATCTCAGTCACTACTCACTGACGTAGGATATAGAACATTGTCTTTGTGGACTGTGTTATGCCAATTGACCAAGGTGTTCCCAGAGTCTGTTGTTCTGATCCTCCTTGCCCCACGTCTCATCCTCTCAAGGTGTTTGATTGTTTCTGAGAAGTTTTCAAAACTTGGCCCCCTGTATGCTCTACCACATTCATGGATATATTTGCAGTAAAAGTAGATACTTAGGTACAAATATCCTCTGTCAAACCTATGTTCATAGGTATATGCCAACTCTTCCTCCCACAGAATAATGTTATTTTGCTATTTCAATGTTATCTCTTTGTGAGCTCTTTAATAGACTAGCGAACATTTTTCTAATCTCACAAAGATTTTCTTTAAAACCCAAAGAAGTAAAATTAAGTGAATTCTGTTCCTCTTGCTTTGTTTGGTTGTTTCTTTATTTAATCCATGCATGATGTCTAAACAATATTTGACCCTTCGGTTCTTAAAACTTTTAATAATCAAAATTAATGTGTTCTTAATGTTGAATCAAAATAGATGAACTCATTGTTTCTCCATTTTATTTTTCTAGAGCACATGAGTACTGAAATGGTATGCTTGTTGTTATTAAGTGCCATGGAGTCGGTTCTGACCCGTAGCGACCCGGTACAGGGTTTCCAAGGCTATAAATCTTTACGGGAGCAGAAAGCCTCATCTTTCTCCCACAGACCAGCTGGTAATTTCGAACTGCTTCTTCTTACGGTCTAGAATTTTGGAAGAATTACTGTGAAATGTGGGCTATTGGGCTCTCGGGGGCTAAGGAAAGATAAAAGGCAAACAAAGTACTTAGTCTAAAGGCAGAACAGAATGGCTGACAGTTCCCACTTACCTGGGCCATTTGAGCTGCAGTGGTACCTTTGGTGCCAAAGTACACCATAGCCAAGGAAGTTGAGATGCCCCAGGGGGAAAAGAAAATATTTTTACCCTCTGAAGATTCAGATAGCTTTTTGCTAAACTCCAGGGCAAACTGGTTGATTGATGTTGCCAGAGAATCCATTGGGAAAACCTAAGAAAAATAAAGCCAAGTATTAATATTGTTCTCTATTTATTTTATTTATTTATTTATTTTGTAGAATGATTTGTTAGCTTAAAAGAGTTTAGATTGAGATATGAAGTAGGGAGAAAGCACACATGGAGTCTCTTTTCTGCTCTTAAGATAACTTTCAGTTTTCTCTCAACCAGTTTCCACTGAGTTCACTCCAGCTCAAAATGTCTAAATTCTACTCTGACAAACCCTGTGTCTCATAGGGTTCCAGTGTCTGATTTCCAGGGAAAAGATCACCACTTTCTTCTGAGGTGCCTCTGCATGGACTTGAACCACCAACCCTACAGATAGCAGCCAATCGCATTAAACGTTTGTACCACCCAGGGACTCCTCAAGTGATAGAGAACCTCTGAAATGGGTTTTCTCCAGCAAGAGACTCTGGCTTTCTCACTTTTTGATATTCAACTTTGAAATTTTATTTCTAGTTGTTCTGATACTTTAATTAAAAGATCTTTTTAAATTGGTTACCTATCTATCAAAGACGTAGCTAGTAGAATGTATTGCCATTTTATAGCAAACCAATGTCTCAAGTTGGTGGCTATTGTTCTTAAGTGTCATTGAGTCGGTGCCAACTCAAAGTGACCTCATATAGAGCTTCCAAAGAGTGGTTGGTGGATTTGAACAGTAGACCTTATGCTTAGCAGTCTAGTGCTGAGCCTACAACACCACTCCAAAAAATAAGTGTGAATCCTGTGTTTACACACTCTCATTAGTACCAGTATCTGTAGAGCTTGACCTCACACTGACATCTGTCACCTGAGAATCGAATGAGCTTCCGGAAGGCTGGGATTCTCTGTGGTCAAGTAGTTGAATCAAGAGGGAGGCCTGTGTAGACCATATTATGGTTTCATCATAAATTATTAAAACTGACACTGCTGAAAACCCTCCTAAGCATAGGCTTATACTTACCCAGCTTCCCAGCCTCTAAATCATGTGGTAGGTGTGGCACCTGTCAATTCCAGAAGTCAAGGATAATCCTAGGCAAACATTATTTCATTTAGAAAAAAAACAAAACAAAACAAAACACAGCACTCTAATTTTGTAGTCACTCTACCAGACTCCTGGTGTGGCACGGTAGGATTGGCAGCAGACTGCAAACCACAAGGATGACAATTCAAACCCATCAGCTGCTCCTCAGAAACCCTATACAGGATCACTATGAGTAGGAACCAACTCAACAACACCACCCCTTCATAAAACATTCAAAACTTCCCTGTATTTTTTTCTCACTAAATTCAATGCCTTCTTAGAAATAACTTCCTTATTTTCTCTAGGACTATAGTCATTCATAGTTCTGGTGTGGCATTGTGGGTTAATGTGCTGGACAACATGATTGGTTTTGAGCCAAAAGGTCGATGGTTCAAGCTCACTAGCCGCTCTTCGGAAACTCTATACAGGGTTGCTATGAGTTGGAACCGACTCCACTGCACTTAAAAAAAACCACTGCACTTAACAAAAAATCATTCAAATGACACGTTGTCTACTACTTATATACCAAGCTTTATCTTTTGGAAAATCATGAATTACATTCATATGGACAATGCTTGACTGCATGACCAACCCATACTCCCCAAAAACAGGAGGAAAGTAGTATCTTGGTACTTGGAAATGTTATCTTTCTCCCTATAAAGTATGGTTACCCTAGAGCTTAGCTACTTATCACAAATTCCTGAAAACAATAATTGTTCTTGTATATTCTCTCAATATACAAGAGTTAACGTCTTGTGAAAAGTTAATAACCAGTAATCTTCAGCTTCGTTATTTTCCCGATTAATACAATTATTAGTATATTAAGGAGCTCTGATAGCGTAGTGGTTACAAATCGGGCTGCTAACCTCAAGGTTGGCAGTTCGAAACTACCAGCTGTTCCATGGGAGAAAGATGAGGCTTTCTGCTCCTATAAAGATTTACAGCCTCAAAAACCTTGTGCAGGATCACTATGAGTCAGAACCAACTCCATGGTACTTAACAACAACAACAACAACATAAAGGTGTAATCCAGAACATACAATAAGAACAATTCCAGACTTTTTAATAGTAAGTGCTAAGCCAGTTATTAGCAAGATGCTGAATTTTGGAAAGAAGTTTCACAGAAAATAATTAAATCAGACATGGTTGAATAATTACATTTACAGAGAAAACTACAGCTGTCTAAATCAGAAATCTCTGTGTTGTTTTCAGATGCATAGCATTTTTGAAGTTGTCATGAGCTATTAAACTGATTTTAGAAAAAAAACCAAGTATATCCTTGAGGATTCTGGAAGTTAGCTTAAGGGGCCAACGAGAAAGATGAACATAGGAAAACGACAGTATCATTCATCTAAATGGCTCATCATAGAAACAGTTCCTAGCATATTGGGGTTGGAAAGAACCTCCAACTTCCCCTAATCCATTGTCCTCATTGTCTCTGTGAGGAAGCTGAGGATCAGAGAGGTCGGATGAGCTAGCTAGTGATGCACAGCTAATTAGTAGCAGTCAGAACTGAAACCCCATCCTCTTGACTGCCTTTAAGGTTTTAATGGTCCAGGAGGACAGATGGGTGATAACCAAAGAAGAGCAGGAGGGGAAAGAGAAGAGGGATGAGGAAGAAGAGAGAAGGAAGGGGTCTTCTCTCCTTTCGCATGAGGATATCCAAAGTGCCTTGGTTCCATAGATCAACCTTATGGATCCATATATATTAGAGAGCGAATGACACCCACACATCCCTCAAGCACTCTGTATTCCCCTTAAGACTGTTCCTGAGGGAAGTCGTAATTTGGCATGTTTTATGATCAACACCATGAGTTTTGGTGTGGTGCTATATGATAAGCACTAACCACAAGGTCATTGGTTCAAACTTACCAGCTGCTCCTTAGAAACCCCATATAGGATCTCTGAGTCAGAGCTGACTCTACGGAATTAACAACAGCAGCAGTGTAGGGTAGAGGTTGTTGTTGTTGTTATGTGCCGTGGAGTCGGTTCTGACTCATAGCGACCCTGTACAGGGTTTCTGAGGCTGTAAATCTTTACGGGAGCAGAAAGCCTCATCTTTCTCCTGTGGAACAGCTGGTAGTTTCGAACTGCTGACCTTAAGGTTCGCAGCCCGATTCATAACCACTACACTACCACAAGCTCCCTACACTAATAACTAGTAGCTAAATTCAAGTTGCCAAGTCCATACCTCAGTCTGAGCTCAGTTACTGAGGCAGTTCAATTTCAGTTTACCGACATTAACAGTCCCAGAGGTAGCGTGACAGGAGGAACCTCCCTTTGTATTTCCAACATTCCTAAATTGGTACAAATTAGTTGTAATTAAGTTTCTAATCTCTTAGAAAATGAATACCCTCTCCTGCTTAGCCTCCTTTCCAGTACAAACGTTGTACCAGTTCTGGGTGGGCTCTCTCTAATTTGCACAGAATTCTTGGGAGATGGAGTCTTATAAAAATAGCACTTCTAAAACCATTTCAGGAACCCTGGCAGCATAGCAGACTATGAGTTTGGCTGCAAACTTCAAGGTTAGCAGTTCAAAATCTACCAGCCACTCCATGGGAGAAAGATAAGGCTTTCTATTCCAGTAAAGAATTACAGCTTTGGAAACCCTATACAGGACCGCTATGATTAGGGATGTTTAATGATCAAAACCGACTCCAGGGCATGCCACCACCAACACCAAAGCCAATCAACTAGGCACTTCAACAAAAAAGAAAATCATAAATAACCTCTTTAACCAAGGAAATACTTACAATACCTTGTTTTCTTTCACTGGAGAAGAATTGGCAGTTTGTCCCTTGAGTAAGAGATTGTGGCTGAAGAGTTAGGTAAGTTTTAACTGTAATGGGGAAAAAATTAGCTCCTCCCTCTGGTTGGCCCAACCCTTAGATTCCTTTCACAAGTCTGTACACAATCTTCCTTTCAGACCTAACTTGCCCAGAACCTCAGCTTAAAAAGACAAAGAAAGAGAGAGAGAGAGAGATAATGGAGGTTTTTGCCTGAATTACGCACATTTTCCATGTTTCTCCACAGGTAGACCTGAATTCTGACGCACTGTAATCCACACCCTGGATGCTTAATCATTTCTCCAGTCTGGTATCAAGTCAACTAGAGTGGTTTCCAATAGCAGATCATTTTTTCAAAAGCAAAAATAAGAAATCTTCAAATTAGTGGAATAACAATGGCTGACAGAACGAACACATTACTAGTGAAGTATTTACCATTTAATTGTTAAAGCTATTTTTAAGTTGCTGAAGCAAGAGGCACAAAGAACTTCTATTGTTTGTCTCCTTTGGGATGCTGGTGGGGGACCCATGCTTCTACACACAATTACTGAGAAAAAGGGTAAATCATCATTTCTGGTTCTCTATATCTCCCTATAAAGGTTCCCTCTCTCTGCTTTCCTCAATACAAAGGAAAGACGTTAGATCCACAGCTTCATTCTCTACCATGGTATCATGTGCACAAGGCTACTTTAGGTGGCACAAACAGTTAAGTGCTTAGTTAATAACTGAAAGACTGGTGGTTCAAATACACCCAAAGGTGTTTTGAAAAAAAGGTCGGACAATCTGCTTCTGAAAAGTCTCCATCATCGATAACCCTACGGAGTGCAGTTCTGTTCTGCGGAAATGGGACACCATGAGTCAAAATAGGAATCAGCTTGATGGGAACTGGTTTTGTTTGGTTTTATGCTGTTCGTGGAGGAAAGGTGAAGGGAGGGTAGAAAAGGGATTAGAACATAAGGAAAAATCCTCCTAGGGTTCAGGGTTAGAGGTACCCCTCAGTTTACAACAGACTTGGTATATTTTTCTTCATGTGGCTTCCCTGGTTGTTTTCTTCATGTCAGTTTTTCTCCTCTCTGACTGGTTCAGAGTATAATAACTGAATGCTGGTATGGATTTCAATAGGAAACAGACGCATGGCAGGAAATTCTGTGGTACCTGTCTGACTGGTGTTGTGTAGATAGGTTACCCTGCTGTCCAAGGATGATTATTAGCTCAAAGTATCCCCCAGGGCCCCACGTAGAGGGACTGCTCTTCTTCAAGACTGTCAACAGTCCATCGGGGCTGAAATAGCTGCATCTGCTCAGTGTGGAGACGGACCAAGTTATTTGTTATGGTCAATGCATGCATGTGGATTCTGTCAAGTCCCAGACTGAGTTTTATTTATTTCTCAGCAAACTTTAATTAAACTCCCCAAATATAGATGTGTTGTTGATGTTAAGTGCCGTCAACTCATAGCGACCCTGTATAGGGTTTCCAAGGTGCGATTTGTGGTTCGAACTGCTGAACCTTGTGGTTCAAACCGATCTTGCGGTCCAGTGCTTTATCCCACAGCACCACACTCTCTAGTAAGCAAGATCATGCTTATGATTACCAGCAGACCTAAAAGACACTTTGGGTTTGGTTCCAGGTAACCACAAAAAAAGTCATTATCACAATAAAAGTGAGTCATGTGAATATTTTGTTTCCCAGTGCATATAAAAGTTATGTTTACACTATATTGTAGCTCAGTAATTGAGAATAGTATTATAAAGACTGTTTGAAACATTGAGAGAGTTACCATAATACAACACAGAGACACAGTGAGCACATGCTTTTGGGGAAATGGCATCCAGAGGCTTGTTCAGCAGAGTTTAATGATGGCATTGGCAGAGAATAGTGACTAAACCAGGTACTGCAAAATAAACGAATCTGTCTTGGAGGAAGATCAGCCAGAATGTTTCTTAGAAGCAAAGATGGAAAGGTTTTCTCAACTGTTTTGGACATGTCACCAGAAGGGACCATTCCCTGAACATACCACGTACTTGGTACAGTGGAGGGTTAGTGGAAAAGAAGATCCTCAATGAGATGGATCGATACAGAAGCTGAAACAGTGGGTTCAAGCATCGCGGTGATTGTGAGGGTGACGCTGGACTGTCCTGTTGTCCATGGAGTAATCATGAGTGGAGACTGAGTCAACAGCACCTCACTAATGAACAGTCTTTATGGAAACACACCACCAGCATGGATTTTCTTTCCTGTTGCTGCTGGTGGATTTGAACCACTGACCTTTCAGTTAGCAGCTGAGCACTTAATCATTGTGGCACTAGAGTCTCTATGGGAAAATACTATTTCCCACTTACCAGTGAAATAAAACAGAAGCAAAATGAAGTGAACTTCCTGGCTCCTGGTTGGACCACGTGAATGTTAGAAGTAGCACTTGAGTAGCTCCTGGGGCTACTACCTGAACCACTGTGCCATAGTGGGGCGATGCTTCTTGCTCTTTCATGATCCGGGATGAGTGCCTGACGCACATTTCTGGTATCCCATCACCCTCTGCACCAGGCTCTGGGGCCAGTTAAGTTTGGCAGCCTCTCAATCTGTCTTAGTTCTCAGCTAAGTTCTTAGTTCTCCGGTCTTAAATTAAGTTCTGCTCTGCCTCTGACCCTTTAACTCAGCCGTACCCACTCAATTCCATTCCCTGGTTTTCAAAAGAAACCCACCTTAAAAGGAGCTACACTGGTTCCCTAGGACTACCGTGAACAAGTACTCTGAACTAGGTGGCTTAAAACAACAGACATTTGTTTTTTCACAATTCTGGGGGTAAAGATGTTGAAAACAAAGTGTCCGCAGAGCCATGCTCTCATGCTCTTTCTGACGTCCCTAGGACCCTGTCTTGCTCCCTTCCAGCTTGTGTCCCTGCTGACATTGCTTGGAACCCTGTGGTTTGCAGATATACCATTTTGATCTCTGCCTCAATTGTCAAAGGCACCCAACTTCTGTGTCTCCCTTTTCCTCTTCATATAAGAATATTGGATTCGGGCCCTGTGTGCCACTCTGGGTTAATGCACTGGACTGCAAACTCATTTGGACTGCAAGGCTGGCAGTTCAAGCTTACCAGCTGCTCCTTGGAAACCCTATCTAGGGTCCCCCTAGAGTAGGACTGACTTGACAGCACTTAACAACAACAACTCTAGCTTGACTACTTCTTAACTTAGCTATTAAGATCTGCAAAGACCCTATTTCCAAAAAGAGTCACATTCACAGGTTCAGAAGGTAATCTTTTGGGAATTAATAATTCAGTGCACCATAGAAGCCACTTTGTGCTTCCTGTCCTTCTCAGAGAATTGTCACTCCTTTGAACTCTGAACTCAATGACTCTGAGCTTGAGTCTGTGTCTGAACCACTGGGCCTGGTGTTTATTCTCAAGGTCCCTGAGGTTTAAACCCTGGTTTCCTCAGAGCACTCTGACCTAGATTGTTCCCTTTCACAGCATTTTGTTGCTGTGAAAAAGCAAATCCATTTATCACCTAAGTCAGCCAGTCCCAACACTGAGTCTCCATACAAATGGGACCGTTTAGACTTTGATTCCTAGATCGTATTTTTTCTAGGCTTCCATAAGTGAGCCATGAAGCCTTTTCCTGGGGAATCAAAATGTTAAAGGTCTCGTGGTCTGCAGATCTAATGGGATGACAACACACAATGGTCGTAAAGACACGTGTTTCTTTATTATATAGTTGCAATCTTGCGTATGGTGCAGACACATCTTTTTACTACACAGTTATGAAATACATGTAATATATTTGTCTGCTTTGTTCAAAACTTTTTCTGGATATTCCTTACAGAAGGATATGGAAAAACGCTTTTCCTTCAGTATTAAAAGAGCAAGTTAGCACATTTCCTTTGATAGAAAACTATCTAATCACATGCTTCTGTAACTCCATCAGTTACATTAAATAGACAGTGAATAATAATAGTTAAAAAAAAAAAAAGAAACCTACCATTATACATTATATAAAAGAATAAATAACACAATGACAGTTAATGCTCCAAAACAAACTAGCAGGGAGGAAGAACTAAATGGGACATCATCCTATTCTAGGTGACCAAGTGGTGACTAGTGTTGCCATGTTTTGATTGACAGGGTTGTCTAACTATTTATGTATTTTGTATTCAGTGAAACTTATATAACTAGTCAATTTTAATCTGCAAAATATGCTCAAAAAGTAGAAACACATAGCTAAAGTCTCCAAGGTTTGGGCACTTGAGATAGCAAACCTGAAGCTTAAATAGAACCCTTTAATTTTAGGGTGAGGAGAATCTGCCCCCAAACAGGATGCTCTTGGTCACTCTGTGCATGATAAAGAAGAGGAAAGGATGGTCAGCCACAAACTGTGGGCCTCCATGGCCAGTTCTTCCGGACATTGTGGCCCCGGTGCCAGCAGCTGCCTCTGTGCCCTCCTCATTAACCTCCACTGCAGCCTGGTGGAACACCTCAGACAGATACAGGTCATTACTGTCTGACATTCCTGAGAAGTTGGCCTGGCCTTTGTTGAAGGCATCACTCATACCCAGGCTCCTCAGGATGGGTTTGAGTTCATAACGCTCTTCCAACTTGAACTGGGGTATGTACACTTCAACATCATCTTCGGCCAGTATGTCTTTGCTGGTCCACTTGTTGAGTTTGTCATACGTTATCTCATTTTCCAGCTGAAAATCCAAAAAGTGCCAGTCAGTGTCTAGTTTTTTGTTTTTGTTTTTTGTTTTAAAAAGGGAAATAAGTCTATTTAACTCTATTATTAGGCATCAGTGACTTTATTAGAAGGGTAGGTAAAAAAATATATATTGCTACAAAATCTTAAGAACTTTTGTCAAACAAAAACATTAAAATATGAAGGCACAGTTCCCTGGCATATCTAGGCCTATACACTTTGGAAAGTGATGTCTCCATCTCTCTAACTCCTCCCCAAACAATTCTGTGCTTTTTGATTTGTGCCACATCTTAACAGTAGTTTGGGCATCCTCAAGGGACTCAAATCATGTTTCTTTTCAATGTTCTTTGAGTTTGGGAAACAAAATGATGTCTGAGAGGGCAAAATTAGGACTGTAAGGTGGATGGGGTTAAAGTATCCCAATGACATTCTAGTAGGACAGCCCTTGTTACCCATGAAGAATCAGCAGGTACATGATAGGGATGGAAAAAAAAATTCATCGGCCTAATTTTCCTGGTTTATTTGTCAGAGAGGTAGTGCTCAACTTTTTTAAAAAAGTTCTTCATAATAAAGTCCCGAAGACCAACCTGTATTCTTTGAGAAGATATATCAAGATTACTCCTGTGAGATAGCCAAAACCAATCACTATAACCTTCTAAGCTGACCTTTGCCTTGAATTTAACTGGCCCAGCAGATTTCCTCAGAAGCCACTATTTTGATTGAAACACTTTTATTGGAAGGCACCCCAATAAAACTAAGACAAATATATTACTGAGAGAACCTGTCTTCAATGATCCACTGATCACAGAGACATGTTTAAACACGTTCTGTTTGGAATAAACCTGTGCAAGTATGAACTGGACCCTAGTAGCAATACTTTTTGACTTACACTTGTGTATGGAAGGTGAGATAAAAATGTGGCAGACTAGTCACATGTTTGCAAGAAGTTAGTATGCATAACAGACACAATTCAGTGGGTTCTACGAGAAGCTGCACACCATTTCCTGAGATACAGACACGTTCACCTCATGAGAGGTAGGTTTAGCTCCAGAAACGTGAAACGATTCCAGTTGGAATGCTTACCAACTCCAATCCAGTAGACGCATCCACAATTTCATCGGGAAGCAACAGGAACATGCTGACATCACCAGCATATGGGAGTTCTACCACCTGAGTCTTTAAGTCTTCAATGTACCCAATGTTCACCTTTTCATGCAAGTGCATCATCTGTACAGGTTTGCGCTCAGTCTGAAATGTTTAAAAATGAAATATGACCATCCTGATACTAAGATATCCAGAGATTTACAGTTAGGCATAAAAGACAGCGAGTACTGCTTTAGTGTTGAAGATGATATGTTTTTAAAATTCAGCAAAACAAGTTATTTGTATTACTCTTAAAGTGGGTGCTTTGATCTTATTGGAGTTATCAAGTTTACAGTCATTTTTAAGATGGGTAATAATAATGATAAGTAGGAGCCCTGGTGTGGCGCTGCGGGCTAATGCATCAGACCGCAAAGTCGTTGCAACTGCAAGGTCGGTGGTTCAAGCTCACCAGCTGCTCCTTGGCAACCCTATACAGGGTTGCTATGGGTCGGAATCGACTCCACAGCGTTTAATAACAACAACAATAATAATAAATAATATTTATTTCTTTATGAGGCAGTGGGCAACACCCAACCATCACCATCACCACTAACCCCTGAGGGTCCACTGTGATGGGGAAGTCATGGTGGGGGCGGGCGACCTGCCACACCACTGCACCCTGGTGCCAAATGGACAGTGAGCAACCAGGGGGGACTCTCCCATAACACCAATTTCCTGACTCTCCCATAACACCAATTTCACTAAAGAACTGGTCTTTGGAAGTTAAACTTATTGATAAATGAGAAGTGGGTGGTATACGTTAAGAAAATGCATCTTGTTGCCCCTTACCGCATTCACACGGAAAGGATAAAGCCCATTTAATTTCTTCTGGAAAGGAGTTTTCCACTTCCCTTTGAAGTAGACAGCATTCACTAAGACCATCCTGGTCTCCTCATCCACCGAACCTTCTGGTAGCAGGTTTGGGATTTTGCCTGCAGAAAGCATGACATATGTCTAGGTCTCATGATCAAGAGGTGGGAAGCCATTATGATTTCTTGACTCTTTCGAGTAACTAACAAACTGAACATCCACGTTCGTCAGATTCTGCAGACACACTTGAATTTTTCTCTAGATTTATTTGAAACACGTATCAAATCTCTCAGGCTTGTGAGAACCAAGAGAAAATGAAAACATGTTGAATTTAAAACTTAGATTTGCTATCAAGTTTTCAAAGTATATTTTTGCTTCCTGTTTTCGTTTTTGTTTCCCCTTAAAGTTTTGCAGTTCTATGTGAGGGAATTAATTCAGAATGAAGTGAAACAGAGTTTCTTAAGGAAGGTATTGAGCACCTTCTCTGTTATAAGCAGTCCTAACTAGTCTCTCAGGTGAGTATTATTAAGGTCAGTGCTTTCTAAGTAGAAAAAACAGAAGGCATTTCCTTGGTTTTACCTTTGGTTTGAGTCTTGACCCAGGAATTAATCTTTTGTCTGGCTTCTTCTGCACAGTCTAGAAAGTCCACTACCTGGGGTTCTGTAGAGTAATATTTCTTAGAGAGCTGCATGTATTCCTTTAAAGAAAAAAAAAAAAAATGTATGCAGGATTTACACTGAATGAACCATGATGTACGGAAATTAAGGACTTTCTGCCAAGATTGGTGTTCTGGGAAGGGAATGAGTAGAGGTTGTATTGGGGAGGAGGTCAGAAAAAGGAAACGGCTGAGATTACAAGTGCACAGTTGATCTCCCTCCTTGTCAGACTGACCCTGGGTTACAAACACCTGATTTATAGACAACTCCAACTTGCTCTTCATGGTGATGTAATCTGTCCTCATTTTGAATTGATTGGACTAGCATCTACTCACAACTATTTCTTCATCATAATCATCTTCACTTGCTGCACATGCACCACTTATATCATTGAAAGGGCTTCAATCCTTTTCTTGCACTAAACGTTTAGGTTAAACAGAGCCTATGCTGACTCACCTGGGGAGCTACCTGTACTCTATCTCCCTTCACATCTCTCCCCAATTCTTATCTGCTCTTAACACACTCTTTGCATTGCACTGATTAATAGATAGCTGCCACGGAGTCCGCTCTGACTCATGGCCACCTTACATAACCACAGAAGGAAGCATCACCTGGTCTAGAACCATCCTCACAGTCACCAGCTTTGTGAATCCATTGTTGATGGCGATTTTGCCCGCATGCTGCACTGTGTGCTTCACTCTTGCTTTGCATTGTGGACTTAGAGTAATGGAGAACTTTGACTCTTGAAAGCAGTTTCATTGCCTTGATTTATTCTCTGTAAGTGAGCTATCTGCAATAGGGGGAGGAACCGCCAACAGAGTGGGGACAGGGGCAGCTGCCATTACCTGGTGGCATTCATGTGCAGCTAGTTGTGGAGAGCCCTGTGGGATCCTGGCTTTCCTTGTAGGTAGTGCAGATTGTAGACAAATGCTTAAAGACAGTAGCAGGTTTAGGGTCCTGCTATTTCAATGTCAGGTCTTACTTACTTCCTTAAATCTCATGGACTTCTCTCCAAACAACTGATTGGTGCTTTCCAATAAGTAATCACCGGAGGATGAATTCATTGCAGAGATGAGAGACTGGAAGGATGAATGGACTTTATTTGCAGTTTGGGCCTTGAAGAGAAAGAAGGGATTCCTTTTACCGACCGCATGAATACTACACAAGAGATTTCTAAAGCATTGTTGTTTATACCAGTGTAACGATAGCATGCTGTTTGCATGTACATTTATGACACTTCAGAGGAATCTTGAAGAGGTGGTATGGTTGTCAAGTGCCATCGAGTCAGTTCTGACTCACAGCGACCCTGTATAGGGTTTCCACGGAACAGCTGGTGGGTTTGAACCACTGACCCTCTAATTAGTAGTACAGTGTTTATTCTAGTATATTAAATCTAATAATATAGTCTTTTATTTGTTTCAGATTTTGCCATGCCTATGTAATAAATGGTAACGTGCTCAGCTGATGAACAAAATTTTGGCAGTTTTAACCCACCCATCTTCTCCATGGGAGAGACTTGATGATCTGCTTCTGTAAATGTTGTTATTGGTGTGGTTGGTGGTGGTGGTGGTGGTAGTGGTGTGGTTGTTAAGTGCCGTCGAGTCAATTCTGACTCACAGTGACCCTGTATAGGCTTTCCTAGGAGCAGCTGGTCTAGTCCCAATTCCTGTTGTCTAACTGAGTGGCTGCTCTTTATGGAATTGAAGCATTGTAAACAGAGAAAGCAAGATGGGATGAGACTGTTAAGACAGACACAGATATTTGAGGGTCAGTGGCCTCATGAGTTCTCAGACCTGGACATTCCCATTTCTTAACTATTTGTCACACCCTGCTCTCTTTCCTCTGGACTCCTGGTGTGGTGCTGTAGGATAAGCACTGGACAGCTAACCACAAGGATAATGGTTCAAAACTACCAGCATTACTCAGAAACCCTATACATTGTTGCTATGAGTCAGAACCAACTCCTTGTCCCTTAACAACAGTCCTTTATCTTCTGGAAATCTGCATCTGTGTATGCATATTCTACAAGCTTCTACAATGGCTTTAGAACAATTCACACAACCAATCAATGGACTCAAACTTACAAGTAACATGGGCTGAGAGTCACGAAGTCTGAATTTTGCCTTGGTTCAGCAGTTAATTTGCTGTGTGGCCCTAGGGAATTAATTTTATGACTCGCAGTCTTAGATTTCTTTTAGTAAATGGGAGAAATTGCACTAACTGCCTTCTCAATCTGACACTGTGGTTTGAAGATGACAAGAGTCTAGACAGAAAATACAAACGAAAGGTGGACACTTGGTTGGGATACCTGTAAAATGCCGTCAGGGTACGTCGTGTTCTGGATCTGTTGCATGATGTTACAGCCGGTGAAGTTCTTCTGGGACACTGGGACAAGTCCGTGGTCTCCAACCTTGTTAAACTGAAGCACCTACAGTTGGAATTAGAGAAAACGGTTACACTTCTGGCTAAACTACTTGTAAAACTAGTGACTATTAGGTGCCTCTACGTTATTTTATTTTGTCTTGTTTTGTCCAGTTTCCTGCCCTTGTATGGGGAACAAGCACAACCATTCTGTTTGAAAGACTAATTGTCTACTGCACCATGGCATGAGGATAAAGCTAGTAATTGTGGGACTTTCTGAGATGCTCTTCATATAGGATATGTGAATGCAAAGTAATCTAAATTTCCCTTACAGAAAACAGCATGAGGTATTATATGCTAGTCTTTATAAGGTCATTTTGAACAATAGTTATAAAAATGGGTCATTCAATATTAATTGGGATCTAGAAATAACCTAAGCTGTCACTATACACACAAAGAGAAATTAACGTCCACATGGGGTGACAAATGACAGTGTTGAGTCACTTCTTCACATGGTAACAGGCAGAGCCAGATGAGTCTGTGATCTGTCTAAATAGTTAGGGGGAAACTGGCCCCTGAGAAGGGTGGATTTATGTTATCCCAGAATATGAGTATGTGTTATCAGTCTTCATCTCTACGCCTGTGATGATAATTCCCTTTAGAAATAAGATGTCTTTTGTATGTTAATGATGCAGGATTAGTGGAGGGTGTGTTTTGAGTCAGTATCTTACAAGATATAGAAACAGCACATTAGGACAGGGAGTAAACAGAGCTGGGGAAGAGAGGAGATTCAGGCCCCATGAAGGCTGCTGAGGAGCAGAAACTCAGAGAGACACAAATCTTCCTCCAGAGCCAACAAGAGAAAGAACACCGTCCCCTAGGACTGGTACTCTAAATTAGGACTTCCCCTACTCTGAGAGAATAGATTTGGGTTTATTAAAGCCAGTCCCCTGTGGTATTTCTGTAGCTGCAGCATTGGAGAACCAACACAAACCCTGTGATGTTGACTCTGACCCCCTCGGCCCTGCATGAGCCTGTCAGTGTCAGCCCTGCGGCTTACCCCTGCCTCTCAGGACTCCCCACGATGTCCTTCTATAGAACATCCTGTGGGGCCCACAATGAGGAACTGCTGATGAGGAAAGTTGAAAGATGATAGGGACTATGATCACCAAGTAAATATGGACTTGTACAGCCAGATACTGAGCTCTGAGCTTGGGGTGAGGGAAAGATGTTTGGATTTTCTGGGACTTTTCTGTTCTCTTCAAATCATATGTCATAAATTCTGCCCAAAAGGCTCTGAGAAGAAGGGGCTCCCTCTGCCACCACATAAAGGAATAGTACTTCCTGTGTCTGTATCTTTGGTTTGTCTCCTTCTAAAGAAATGTTATTGCTATTGTTATGTGATGTTGAGTCCATTATGACATATAAGGAGCGTATACAACAGAGTAGAACTGCCCATAGCATTTACAAGCTGCAGAAACCCTATACACGGTCGCTATGAGTTGGAACCAACTCGACGGCACTTAACAAAACAGCAATTTTTATGGGAGCAGATCGTCAGACCTTTACTCCCACGGAGGTGCTGTTGGTGGGTGCAAATCACCAGCATTTTGGTAACTGAGCACTTAACCACTGTACCTCCAGGACTCCTGTCTAAAGGAATGCTGGTGCTTAAATCAGGGGTCTCCTGGCTGCCACAGACACTTCCCTGAATCCCTGCAGAGGTCTCTCAGGGCAAGGTTTCTGCAGGAGAGGACAGGTGAGATAAGCCTGGGCCATGCTGAGAGACACAGAGCACATAGTCACAGAGGCTGGGTCTGTGGCCTGGACCCTAACTAAGCAAGCTGTTGTTAAATAGTGACTCTGTATAATATGGATCGGAATTGACGCGACAGCACTTAACAATAACATAGGGTTTCCAAGGCAGTACATACTTGAGGAAGCAGAAAACCTCAACTTTCTCCCACAGAGCGACTGGTGGTTCATAGTCCAGTGCTTATTGTATAGAGCTGGTCCTGGTGTGGGTTAATGAGCTGGACTGCAAAGTCGGTATGAACTATAAAGTTGGCAGTTCAAACTCTTCAGTCGCTCCTGGGAAACCCTGTACAGGGTCACTATGAGTCGGAATCGACTGGATGGCACTTAACAACAACAGCAATGTTAATCATAAAAACTAGGAAAGAAGATTCTAACTAGCACACTGGTCTCATATCTCCTCTTTCTTTCTTTCTTTCCACTTCAACTCTGTTCTTTCTACCAGGAGTACTAGTTCCCAACAGAGTGGTCCTCCTGCCTTAATTCCCTCATCTGAAAGCACCTACCTTGTAGGGTTTGGGGAACAAATGTATAAAAAGCTCTCAGAATCTGCCTGGCCAATGCACTAACAAGTATTAACCACTCTTGTGACTACTGTTTATAGGTGCTTTACGTAATATCTCTACTCTTCACAACTATCTTGCAAAATATGAATTTGCATTCCCATTTTACAGATGAAGAAGCTGAGGCTCCGAGAGTGTTCATGCTTTTGCTCACACCTGGCTGGTAGAAAATCCATGGCTCAAACACAGACATGTCTGCTCCCAAAGCCTCTGCCACCTTCTTACGCTGAAGGCTCACCTCTCTTTTTAATTGGGGAGCAGTCAAATTCGCCTTTGCGTTTTAAAATCTGTACATGCTGCCGATTTAAAAGATTTATAAGAAGATGTCACTGTGAGTTGGTACCGACTCGATGGCACCTAACAACAACAACAACACCAAGCACTTTCTGAATATAGAAAAGTTGTATTGTACTCAGAGTGTACACCAGTTCATTTGGCGTAAAACTGTATTTATGTTAACAATTCCGAACAGTTCATTCAGCATATGCCCTGAAAATGAATTGCTTCTTTGCATTTTCAAAAATGAACACCTTGATGTTTTATAAAGTTTTCAATGTATTCACTTTCTATTTTCTCAAGGCAAAATAATAATAATAATAATAAAGGGGAAGAAATGTTGCAAAGGATTGAGCAATTGAGTTTCGCTGTAAGTGTCTCTGTTTAAACAGCCACAAACACAGGGAGAGATGAACCATCTTGGCTCCTGCTGAGGCAAGATTGGCCAACATTCTCTCTGCGGAATACTTTTGGCTCAAACAAGGCCTGTCTTAACTGGGTCACCATGTGCCTGGAAAGATGGATCTATAGCCAGGTACACTCTCATGGGAAAGCAAAAAGCAGCCGATGGCAGTTTGGTGTGTCTGAAGGCACAAGGGCTTGTGGAACATCAAGGCCTATATTGGAAATATTCAATGCTCCTGTTTCTCAGCGTATATGTGAATGCCTAAGAACTTCAGTTATAGAAAAGCCACAGTTGTGTCACTGGCCTAGGACATAATAGGAGCAAGGTGGTGGTGGTGTGCTGTGGAGTCGGTTCCGACTCATGGTGACCCTCTATAGGGTTTTTGAAGCTGTAAATATTTACCGGAGCAGAAAGCCTCATCTTTCTCCTGCAGAGCTGCTAATAGATTCAAAATGCTGACCTTGCAGTTAGCAGCCCAACTTATAACCCACTATGCTACCAGAGCTCCCAACAGGAGCATATGAATTTGAAATATGTAAAATGCATCCCATAGGAATAGTACAAAATCTGGTTGGAAAAGTTCCAAATATTTTGAAGGTCTCAAACTCATTGGAAAGCATACTCTGGTTGAGCCTGTGTTCATTCACCAAGCCAGTGGCCTTGGTACAGAGATAGCTCACAATGCTGTCCACACCCTGTCCACTTTGACCTTGAAGACTGACCACTCTGTGAGGCCAGACCCCATCTTTTTGACAGGGCCTCATAGACTTGATAAAGTAGTCGAAGTTCCTCTGAAGCAACCTCGCCTTCCATACATCTCTGAGGGTCCACAGCTCAGACACTCTCCTAGGACCATTAAGAGAAACTCTTTACCTGAATGATTTTAGGGGAAGGGAAGCACCTCAGTACTAGCACAATGGGAAAGACAATGAACCATGTGCAACTTTGGGATAGGCGCTTCATTCCGGCTACCAGTTTTCTTCACTGTAAAATGATAAAGTAAAACCAGACCCACTTGGTGTCAATTCCAACTCTTGGAGGCTCTATGTGTACAGCTGTTCTTCATAGTGACTCTCGATGACTGAGTTTTAGGAAGCAGACCACCAGAGCTTTCTTCCAAGTGGGAAGGCACATTCTGGTTAGTAGGCAAGCACTTATTGATGACACTACCTAGGGCTCCCACTGTAGAAGTTGAGTCTTAAAAGCAAATGAGATACTGTTGGCAAAACATATTGAAATGTATAAATATTATGTTGTTAATATCTGAGATATTGACAAGAAACCCTGATGACACTGAGGATTAGGTGTTGAGCTGTTAGCCATAAGGTCAGCAGTTTGAGCCCACCAGCTGCTCCTTGGGAGAAGAAGGATAGACTTTCTGCTCCACAAAGATTTACAGTCTTGGAAACTCTATACATGGTCTCATTGAGTTGGAACTGACTCAATGGCACTTAACAGCAGCAACAAAACCCTGTATAGAGTTGCTAAGAGTTGGAATTAACTCCTTGGCAGTGGCTTTGGCGTGGTCTTTTGGAAGATGTTATCACTATTGACGGGTTCAAGTCTTGTCAGTCAGTTAATATCCGTCTGCCTTTTGCTACCTTCAGATGAGGGTTTTGTGATTTGGTTGTTGGTAAAACTAAATCTATGTAATTCATGTTGTATACCACTGGATACTTTATTAACGTGTGATGGTTGCTGATCTTGTTACGGTCAACATAGCTTGAGCAAAACATAGGAACAATTCTGCCCAGTTCAGAACGTCCTCTGTCCTGATTCAGAGCTCCAACACAAACTCACCTGTGCCATCTGGTCTGCAGTGTCGCCCCCGGCACCCAAGTAGACCATGGCCATGGTGGATGAGATGCTCCATGGGGAAAAGAAGAGATTCTCAGTGGGGTTTATTTTCACCAGTTGCTTAAAGAAATTGAGGGCAAAAATGGTGTTCGCCACATAAAGATCCTCCATTGTTTCAATCTAGAAGGGAAACGAACAAGAAAAATAAGGTCTAAAAGACACTCAACAGTTTGGGTGAAGCCAGCAAGTGGAACAGGGTGTAGCCTGCCTAGGAGGGGTTCCGTCTGGTCTCCTTTCATAGGTCAACTTGAAAAATAGCAGGACCTGCTTCACAAACACGCTAACAGCATGGCCTCATGGGCCTCCCACTGGGTTTAATGCTCTGCTGTCATCATCCTGACATTTGGAATAATTACCAAACAAGAGGCCCTGCCAATTTTGGAGCTGGGCCTGAGGGATCGTGAAAATTATACCATGAGTAGTGACATTTGATGGCATTGCAAATAATAATAATAATAATAATGACAGAAATAACCATAAATCACATTTATTGAGTTCTTACTGTATAGCAGACACTGTCCAAAACATTTTATCTGTTGTTGTTGTTATGTGCTGTGGAGTCGGTTCCGACTCATAGCGACCTTATACGGGGTTTCCGAGGCTATACATCTTTACAGGAGCAGAACGCCTCATCTTTCTCCTGGGGAACAGCTGGTAGTTTCAAACTGCTGACCTTGCGGTTCGCAGCCCGATTCGTAACCACTATGCTACCAGAGTGCCTTCATTTTACCTGTAATACACATTTAATTTTCACTGAAATCATGAAGAAGGTGCTGCTAAACCTGCTTTACAAAGGAAGAAACAACAGAAGAAGGAAGGTAAGAAAATTGACCAACGTCACTCAACTGTTGGTGACAGAGCTCGAAATGGACACTAAGTAGGTTGACCCCACAATCAGACCATGGACACACCATACACGTACACACACAAGCAGAAATACACATATCCAATTGCACGTCACAAGCATACATGTCCTTGTTGGCCACAATCTTCTTTCAAGCTCTATACAGGGTCAATATGAGTCGGAACCGACTTGATGACCCTTGACAATAACCATAATCCTAGAACTGAATTCGGTTTGTTGTTTAAGAATTGGTACAACTTCCCAGACTGCACACACTGGGACAAAGGGGTTTCCTGTGCTGGGGAGTTTTGTTGTTTGATGTTCACTGCTGAGAGAGCAGGGACAGCCTCACTTCCCTCAACCACCCATCTCCTGAGGGGTCGTCAATATCACCCAACACTGTATATGAAACGTACACCCTCAACTTATCAGCCATCTGAACATAAATAGGCATGCGTTGTATGATCTAAGAGTCTGTGTACTGGTTGATGCTTGGACACACCCAAGGAATGTGGGTATCTGTTGGTACTGACCAATGATCATATTTCTGGCTATGTGTTTGTTATTCTTTCGTAGTGGCTTAAAACACATCCCATAATTACCCAAATATATAAATATACAGAACAATGCCGACACTCATCTTCCCATGGGAAACCGCTTGTGACAGTGGCTTCTCAGAGCTGAGGAGGGACTGGGAGTCCCCAGGATGAGGCTGTGTACACTTACGGTCCACTCCCTAACCCACGGGTGTCTCATGTGAACACTTAACCTGATAACGCTTCTTTTACAGAAAGTAATAGCAACTTGAATCAAAATATCTCATTTGAAATACCACCTAATGGTTTTTTCACCCAGAAGAAATAGTCAATTAAGTGACACCTGTCTCTGAAACGCTCGCCTTCTCTGTCTCCTTAATCTTTCCAGGATTCATATGAGATAGATACCATCTGCATTTTACAGATTACACCCTGAGACTCAGAGAGGTTACGCAATCTGAATAAGGTCACACAGCTTCTATGCAATGGTGCTGGAATTTAAATTCACGTCTGTCAGAGGAAATCCATCCTTTCCAATGCCCACACTGCTTACTGATACCATCATGTATAAAAGTTTCAGCAAGTTACCAGCTTGAGAAATGCTAAAAAGAGGAAATCAAAAGAGGAAAGTAACAAGTCTGCAACTTTCCTAAAAAGGTGTATTAAGTAACAGCCCCTCCCTCTCAAACAATTACCATTCCTTTTCTCTTGCTTCATCACAGAAGCTAAATTAACTTGGGTGGGTCAGGTATTTGTTTCTTCTTCCTTTTACTAATTAAAAAAAACAACAACTGTTTTTTTACTAATTAAAAAAAAGCACATAATTAGCCTGATTTTATGTCTTTACTGATAACTTGTCTCAATAATCTTTTTGGAATCAGAGTATTAATAATAAAATTGATGTTTTTCTATTCCCATGTGAAAAACGAAATAAGAAATCAGTGCCAGAAAAATAAATCAGGTTGCACCATTAGTTATTTACTTTGACACAAACAAAATTTAATGTCAAGGCAAATTTTCAGAGGGCTTTTAATGCCCTTTGAAGTTAGAGTTTCAGGAAACTTAATACAGGGGGGGGAAAAAACACCAAATTGAATCAGAACAAAATCAAATCAACTCAGAGGCCGCATTAAATTCTTTTCAACAATAGCTCAAATTTATATTTTAAAATAAATTTCCATAACTCCCATTTGACATTAAAGACTAATATCTGGTATTTTATATTGCAGTTATCAAATTCCTTCAACTATGTTTGTATTTAAATTTTATAATTATTTACCTAAGAAGGTTGAGTAGTTCCTGTTGTACCAATAAAAATATGAAGATGCAAGTTGCACAGCTAGCTGATTTCAGTGTCTAGACTGAATTCCATCCTTGGGATTTCAAGTCTAGTTCTTTTCCTACAAACTTTTCAGTGAAGGGTTAAGCAGGTCTTAGAAATCTATGAAGGCACAAGTATGTGGTGTGTCCAGCTTCTCAGACCATGGTGCATGTTGAGATTATGTGGCCACATGGGAACCTGACAAGATATTGTAACCACTATGTTACCATGGAGTGATGTTAAATACCATCAACTCCCAGAACAGGTAATACCTGTTGTGAATTTCTTAATATGGCTGTAAATGATAAGACTTCACTGATTTTCAAATATTATTTTCCTAATTAATTAATGTTTCATATTGTCATTGGAAAGGATGGATGGAAACCATATTTGAGGGCTGAACTCCCTGATGTTTGGGTTGGCTCCTACAACACGAGTTGACAAGCGTGCCACTGAAACTTGCCCTGGGTAAAGAGGAGCTCCTGGCGTGGGTAGCCACACCACCGTTCCTCTTCTCTGTTTCTGGATGTTAGATTTAAGTTTGATGTAACAATTAAAATATTTTTGTGTAGCCACACCGTACAAATACTTTGAAGTTTATGACAACAGTGTGAACCACAAGAAAACAATAATTTTAACAAAACTTCTCATCCAAAACCATCAGAGCTTTCTCACACAAATTTAAAAGAAGTGGGGTTTTCTTTTGATTACTGTCCTAATCGACACTTGTCTGTTTCTGTCTTGTCACATTCTTTTCAACAAACTATCACTTCAGTTAACCCCACAGTTCATGCTTCTCTTTCCCTGAATTGACCCATCATTTAACTGAGTTCAATCAATTCATCTATCCTGGAATTGAGTTCGCCCAGTTTAACTTGCGGCTTATTTTCTCCAAATTTTAATTTGTTCATTTCAGAAGAAAACTGAATCACCATTTCCTTTAGCTTATATACAATTTTTAGATTATTTCCAATCACTTATATGAAAATATTTTAATTCTCATTTAACTAGATATCTCCACCAAAGTCAGTGTCAAAGCAATAGCTAGAATAGATAGAGCACATATCTTCTTACTTGTTCAATAAAGTACATATTTTGAATATGTATTTTAAATTGATTAATATTGTACAAAGACATTTGCTAGCTTTTGAAATTCAAGATTAAGCCTTACCGTTAATGTCATGAAAATCTTGAACTAAACTATTTCAGTGAAACAAGTAAACACTATTAAAGATTTACTTACCAGCTAAATTGACATATTTAATTTCAATGTATTCATAATACCAGTAGGAAGGAAGAGAAAGAAATGAGCCTGTTTTCCCCATAGAAGTGGCCATGTAAACCTCTGACGTACCTTGCTGCTCTCCGAGGTGGTGGCTGACAGGAACTGCCCTTCTGGGACGTGTCATCCTCCAGGTATGGTGATGTCTGGTTTTATAAAGCTCAGCCCCTCCCTCGGAACTTTTCTCTTTCTAACCTGTGTCTTTTGAGTGATTCAACATTGTACACAGGCACCACTAAAAATAGAAATGTCTGTTTGTAAAGACACGATTTGAGAAATTTGTTGGGATGATGATGTCACTCAGAAACTGAAGAATTTGGCAATATCTGCACAGGCCTGCCAAAATTCTACAAAATACGTCAAGCCCAGTTGTAAGTCTTCCCTGTCTATCGGTGCCGGTGGTAAATCCCACTATATGTGTTCTACCTTCAGACTCACTAGCCATTTGAGGCTGGTTGTGGAGGACATGATGCCAGGGGCTGGCACAGGGATAGTGCAATAGTGGAGGACAGCCAAGAGATCTGTAGACACCAAACCAGAGTCCCAACGCTCGAGTTCTCAAGCCAATGCCAGCAACCACCTACCTCCAGTTTTAGTGCTTCTGGTTGTTACATGAAGTAATAAAATATTGTCTGTATTGTTTAAGCTATTGTTAGACATCTTGAGCCCTTTGTTATTTGCAGCCAAAAGCATGCCTAAATGATACAGGCTTGTGAGAAGAACAAATAAGATAAACTCTGCCAAGTACTTAGCCTATTAACCCTTTGAATGGTGAGCAGCTTTAGATGCCTTTAACTAGTATTACAGAGTGACTGTTGGTAACCTGGTTTGGCACTTGACCTTCTTCCTAGATTAGAGTGTTTTTATGAACTTGGTACTTGAAGACAATATTTTCATTCATTGAACAATTACAGGAAGTTGTAAAGAACCAGATAAGATTAACAATGGTGCCAAGGCCAAGTGTCATGGGAAAGAGGGAAAAGGACTAGTGAGTATGTGTTGGCATCTCAAGAAAGAGTTGAGTAAATGGGGGGAAAAAATCAAAAGCTGAAAATTGAGATGGGAAGGTACTACAAGTTCAGGTAGGAGAAGCACAGATCTTGGAATGATTCCTGAGTCACCTTGGAG